ATCAAGACCGGTCAACTTTAGAGGTGAAGACATTGTTATACGTTTGGAGCTTAAAAAGAATGGGTTTAACTTTTTAAACCTTACTATTTAAATACCAGATCACAGAGCAATCAATCAGTTAGTACTTGTACACCAAAGCAGACGCTCACGTCCAAGAGCATACTTCAGCTTCACCATATTATCAGTAAATATGGACTCCGTATCAGAAAAACTACAAATATTCCAACCGGTCAACGTAGATGAATCCATTGCTCGAGAAGAATGGCATACGTATCACCCGTTTACCAAATCATTTAAGAACAGCGATGAGATAGAAATTGTTATTAATCAACAGGATGTGTTTATGGATATTAGCCAGGCTGAATTATACATTGAGGCCAAATTTTTGGAAGAAGTATCGACAGTTGTGAAAACAGGAAAATGTTCCCTGACAAATAACGTTGGAGCATTTCTATTTGAATCGATAACGTATGAATTGAATGGAAAAGTAATCGATAAAGTACGAGATCCAGGGCTTATAAGTACCGTTAAAAGTCTTTTGTGTCTCAATCAAAATGAAAGTACTGCCCTTGATGTGGCGGGATGGAATTGGCCGAACGGTACTGTGAAATCATATGAGCCAGAAACGGATAATTTCAGTCTCCTAATACCATTGAATTTCCTATTGAACGTCTTCTCCGATTATACTAGCGCAATTATGGGAACGCAGAAATTAAAGCTTGTACGTGCCAAAAAAGATGATAATTGTTATGTTAATTCAGAGGGAAACAAGAAAGCAGACATCACCATTTTGAATATCGAGTTAAGAGTAAAACATATCTACCCGAACGATTCTGTGAAATTAAAATTGTTTGAAGCGATTTCCAAGGACAAACCGATATTTGTTGGATTTAGGAAATGGGAAATTCATGAACTACCTGCTCTACGACAAGCGAGAAAAGATGTATGGACAGTGAAGGCAGCATCTGAACGAGCGAGATATGTTATTGTATTCTTCCAAGAAGATCGAAAAGATAATTATAAAGCTGATGGCACATATTTCGATAATTTGAAAATTACAGATGTCAAGCTTTATCTAAATTCGAAGGCCTACCCATATGAATCCCTAGATTTAAATTTCAAAACCAGACAGTTTACTAAAGCCTATTCCATGTATACGGATTTTCAAAAATCGTATTTGGGAAAGATCAATAGCGAACCTTTGCTAGATTTTACCGCTTTTGCCAGTCGAGCCCTATTTGTAATTGATTGTTCAAAACAAAACGAGGCTCTGAAAAGTAATGTGATAGATGTAAAGCTAGAATTTGAGAGTTCGGAAAATTTCCCAGAAAACACCCAGCATTTTGTATCATCATATACGATCGAGTCATGGAATATTTACCTTTATCAGGACATGTTAGAACGCTAATTTAATCAGTTGCTGCAAGACATTGATACGATGAAGTTCGTTGTTATAGACGTACAAGGATTTCCCATCCCCGAATTTGAGGTTAAGGAATTATCCATATACGATGGAAAAGAAATGAAAACCTATACGTTTAAACCGAAGATTTGTTACAACCATCTGCCGATACACCATAAGAAGACGATAAATTATATATTTCACAATGTTCATGGAATCCCTTATAATTCAGGGTATTTACCCTATAAGGCGATGTATAACATAATACAGGAGGAATTGGAAGGTGTCGATATGGTTTTCGTTAAAGGATCTATTAAAAAGGAATTTCTGCTGTGCACATACAACGAAATGAATCTTGATCCACCCTGTATAGTGAACTTGGAATTTACTTCTGGACCTGTGCCGAAATTAGAACAATCATACAGTAATAATTGTAATTATCATAGACTAGAAATATGTTCTTGTACTGTAAATAATGTTCATATATTATATGATTATATTATAAACCTGTTAACACAATAAATTTAAATCTATTAATATCTAGTATTTTTTTTTACTTATTAGCCTGTACATTATATATTAGCTCATTTTACTGTAAACCATTGTCTTGTTCACATCGCTCTCATCATCAAATCGTTATGGATAAATCAAGTGTATTAGAACCAATAATTAATGTAGCATTAAACATTTCCGAGAACCTGGCAGAAAAGCAAATTATTTTCCAAAGTACAAACAAGGAGAAGAAGAAGATTCAAATGTCATATGAAGGTTTTCAACGTTTCTGGACTTTGTTGATGAAAACGTTAATAGTGGTTGGTGTGATAAATCTATAGAAATTGATGGGCATTTAAACATAACTTATGCTTTTGAAGAAGAAGTGAAAGTGCTGATAATTCAAGATAGGAAATGGAAAACTTATATTGATTGGGAGGATGATTGTATATTGTTATTTAAATACTGTTTACCTATTTTTATAATTTACTAGATGAGAGAAATGTGGAAAAATAAATACACAGTGAAATGAAAAAAAATTGTTTTATTTAGAATACTCTAAATCATTTTTTTTTTATAAAATCAGTCTTGAACAATATAAAAAGTTTGAAAAAATGTTTTTCAGTATTACTGTTAAATACATGTGTAAAATAAATATATAATAAAAATAATTATTTATGTTAGGAAAAATTACTAAATTTGAATGCAACTATTGAAAAGCTTAAATCAAACAGTAGACATAGTATAAAACGCCTAAATTTGTATACAATATAAACATGTTAAATATAGTAAGATAAAATATATTGGATATAATACTCTAAATAGAATACACTAAAAATACAAAAATAAAATTAACCCATCCTCTTAAACATGAAAGTAACTAAATATTAATAAATAAATAAATAAATAAATAAAAAAAAATATCGAAGGAAATAGAAGTAAAAAATAGCTGCCATTGGTTTCAGCCTATAGATTTTCCGATATTTCATCCCTATATTTTCCTAGATCTTTATGGCCCCATGCGAGCGTGTACTCGGAATTGGGAATAAGAAATCTCTTAATCGTCCGCGTAGGATAAGACTATCTTATTTTTTAGCTCTACATACATATTGTGTAAATGTGAACGGAAAGTGTTCATCGAGCGATAGATTTTCGTACCTGCTACATCGACCGTGTTTTTATAATCATCCAAACTAATATCTTGTTTGGTGATGTAGTCAGGCACGCCTTTAGCCTTTTTCGTTAACTCACCATCCACATTTACACAATATGCTTTAGCCCCAGTTCCATAAAACTCCCACAAAATTTTTCCTGCATATTCATCCTTCATACGGCCCAACACAGACGAATTTACAGGAATATCGTGTGGATTGTTTTGCGAGTAATTTGACGTATCGAATCTATCCAAATTTTCGCGCATGTCATCATAAAAATTGTCGGTTTGAATTTGTAAAATTAGAGAATCGGTGTCAGTGTAGAGCAGTGAGGCTTTATTACCGTACTTTGGTTTAATATAACTATACAAAAAATCATACATAATAGTTTTGGAAATTTCCAAAATTGAAAAACCTACGTAAATAGGTTTATTATATACGATTTTCTGTTTAGCCATATGTATTGCGACTAAATTCTCGCTAAAAATCGTCAAGTCTTTAAAATGCGGTTTGGAAATGTACGCTTCTGCCCCTAGCTTTCTACCAATATTTTCCCAGTGGGTAACTAACTTAATATTTACCCGTTTCTCCACGTTCTCCATTGTCTTTCCAAATACAGCGTTATTCATAAGTTTGAAAAAATCTTTTTCAAACTTATTTTCAGCGTTATTACGCTTTGCTGTATTTAGATCAATGTAGGTTTTCAACCAGGGAGATTGATTAAATGATAAAATGCGATGAATTTTGGCAAGTTTCAGACCATGGTTCAACGCTTGTTGTAAATTTTGATAATGAATTACATATCTAACTTTAGAATTAAAATTGGGGATTAATTTTGAAACTTTAGATCCCTCTGGTTGAACGGACTCTGGGCAAAAGGGTAATTCGTTGTGTAAATCATGTAAATGCTCCGGATACTCTAAATCGACTTCAAAAACATAACCTATATTAGAATTTTTATCGATATTCATAAAATTTAAGTTTGAAATTTCTTCTTCTGTTAGCCACGTAAAGTTACCTGTTGGTAGATATTGCGACATGGCTGCACCATATAAATTGGTAGCATCCAAGTACATAATGTAGGAAGTAGGTTTGGAAGCGTCGTATATAGACATAAATTTGTTATTCGCGATAGCTTTTCTAACACTACATTGACTGACACCGCCGCGAATCCCGTGTTTAAAGAAATGTATCATGTCTAGATCTGTCAATAATTCCAGCTCGATAGATGTAGTTTTCAAGGCCGCGTCAAAGGACAGAGATGGTGCGGTGAAGTATTGACAAGGATCTAGACCGTATGTTTGTAGACACACCTCTCTAAAATTCTCAAAAACATCAGTTAATAATAGTACGTCGGATTTTAAATATATATCTGAATATTCGCCTAAAGTTTGACATTTAAATAAATTCCATACGTTCAATGCACGCTCGTAATCTCCTTGTTTGATGGCTTCTTTTCTAAGTTCGTTATAGAAACCATCAATGGGTGGAAGCTTGGTATCGTCTAATTTGGAAAAGGAATTTACGTACGAATATGGGAAAACACCCTTCATACGAATAACCTTAAATTCTTCTTCGTTAGGGAAATACTTTCTAACCTCGCGACACTGCTGTGATGTTAAATTTTGACTTATTATTATTATTTATATTATTATTTTATCCTTATTATTATATTATCCAGGCTTGATGCCATAAAGCGGAAACTGTCCAAAAATCTTAATTTTAAAAATAACTTTTGTTGTCGCTTTTCCTGTTTGTTGTCGTCATCCCCCACCATAATATATTTTGTAAAAGAAATATATCTTTCTTTGTTTTGGGGAATGACGTCCAATCGTTCTTCCTCCACAGCCAATTCTTTTATAAAAAGATGGCTGTCAAAATTTGACATATTGTGGAAGAACACAGGAATGAAATTAGGTACTTTAAAATTTAGATTACAAACAGAAGTGAGCCGCACCTCGATATTTTCCTGTCAGATGACAGTGGTCCCTTACTCTGTCATCTTCCACATTAAACGGTCTTTCGCAAATATGACAATGCGTCATCTGATAAAACTCAGCTTCTTGTACGCTACTGAGAGGAGACATGGATACAATATTTTTCATAAATCGATTGTAGATTGATTTACAATCAGTCTCTAACCAATCTATGAAAACTTTATGTGCATCAGGTCCTCTAAAAGTCTTGAAAATCGACTGAGAATTATCAAAATCGAATTTATGTAATAGGCAAAAGAATAAGGAACGTGTTGGTGTGTTTTCACCGTATAGGAAATTTCAGGATCCAGCTCGTTTTGCTCTGTTTGTATAGGTTCCAAAATAGTTTCAAAATCAGCGTATACAACAAAAGGTACTTTTAATTTTCGTTCGAAATTCGTAAATTTAAGGATATTCTCGGGAATGTTTTCACCATATTTATTTTTCTTTAAATTATCCGAAGGAGTTTCAACTACAACATGACCACAATCGTATTTTTGATGATTTTCTAATTTAATATCTGAAGAAAAATAAACCAAGCAACCATCGCATAAGAATTTTGAATGTTGTTTGCCTGAAAGTTGCTGTGAGATTAGGCGAGACATATTTCTTATTAAACAATAATGATTATTTCCAGAATCATCACTGATTAATAACAAATTCACATGTCTATCTGCCTTATGAGATCTAGTAAAATACAAAGGACCAACAACTTCAATAATATTCCTATCATGTTTATAACCCTTCTCGAGTCCATAAACATTAATAGAAATATTATTAAGTTGTTCGAATTTTGACACCTGTTTCAAAGATATCGGAAAATCTATACCTGACACATCCAATTCCTGCTCGAAAGATTGATAATTCTGGACTCGGTTGGCGTTCTGAGTTCGGGGAACTGGGTGAAAGGCGGCTAAAACCGACCATACAAAACATTTCTGGTCAGTGTTTTGTATGTTCAACACAGCCCTTTTCGCTTCTATTTCCTTCGGTAATGGTATATAAGATGAGGCTTTTAGTGGGTTGATTTTATTTACCCTTACATCTACGTGAAGGAGTTGCTGAAGAGTCCAACCTAATGTATACGAAAAAAATAATTAGTATGGTGAAAATCAGAAAAAATTATATACTTACCACTATCTTTTTCATTGAACTCCTGGAATCTCCGCTTAATGATAGTGGTGAACTGATCAAACAACTCCTCCAAATCGGTGCCCTGACTTGCCTCCCTGAAACGCGAGCCAAAGGACTTGGTCTCTTGCACCTCCTTTGTCTGCAGGAGGAAACGCCCGAAAAGCTCCATACCGACTTTCACATTGCCAAACCTTTCGATTTGGCATCTTACCAGCGAAATGATTTTTTCGCGGAGATTAGCTAAAAAATCATTAACGCTGATAGGATCTTTTTTCGATAAAAGTCGGTATGTAGCAATTCGGTTTTTGTAAGAGGTATTAACTAAGTAAACACCTTCCTCCTGCATTACCAAGTGTTCTAAAAAAAAAATATACGTTTTAATTTAAAAGGTGTATAAAAAAATAATAATAACTTACCGTTATTGAAACCAAGTCTAGCTCTCTTTGGCACCGAAGACTCTGACTCTGCCTGATTGACTAAAATAAAAAAAAAAAAATATTTAATATAAAATAGATCCTTTCTGTTACAAAAAAAAAAAAAAAAAAATAGAAATATATGTTAAATAGTTAATTAGTTTAAATAATTGAAAAAAAGTTAAAAATAATAGTTGAATATATTAAAAATAATTAAATAGTTAATTAATTTAAAAATAATGGAAAAAGTTAAAAAAATAATAGAAAAATATGTTAAAAAAATAATTAAATAGTTAATTAATTTAAAAATAATGGAAAAATTTAAAAAATAATAGAAAAATATGTTAAAAAAAATAATTAAATAGTTAATTAATTTAAAAGTAATGAAAAAACAAATAATTACTTACTGTTAGTAGGAGAGCTTGTTCTTTTCAGGGATACCGTCTCTAAATTTTTTGTTTCAGGCAGATTGACTAAAATAAAATAGAAAAAACCATTTAATATAAAATAAAAAAATAAAATAATAACTCACCGTTGATGGCTCCTTTGCAAATCCTGCGGTGTTGTTTTAAATTATCCTTTCTGTTAAAGGATTTCAAACATTTCTCGCACGTATCTAAAAAAAAGCGTTTTAAAGCCAGAATATAAAATAAAAATATTTACTTACGTTTACTGGGGCCAGCACTGTCGTTCACGCCGGTTTGGGGCGTGGCATTTTTGATTTGATCGGCTAAAAAATAGAAAAAACATTTAATATTGCACAATATAAAAATAAAATAAAAACTCACCATTACAAATCTTCGTATGTCTTGTCAAATTCCTCTTATAGGAAAACAATTTCCCACAAACACTGCATAGAAACATTTTTTTATTTTTATACGGCGCGGTGGATCGACTATTTTCAACGAGAGGTAGGTAGAGACTGATGTGAATTGCGAGTTGTTTGCTGGGTACAATGCTAGACCGGAAAACCGCAAACTGATAAGGAGAATTGCACAATGTTGGAAAAATTCTAGAAAAACAAATGCGTCACATCATAGTCATCATACCGGAAACCGCCAAGGCTGATTAAAAATAATACCGACCGCAAACTCCGATAAGGAATAAATGTTGCACAATGTATTTTTCACCAAGTTTGATTTATTTTATTTTACTTAAATATTTATCACAATAATTCATCTTCTAGAAAAACAAAAGCATGACATCATGAGAGGAAGCCGTAAAGATTGAAGTATTAGATCATTTTACTGTAAACCATTGCCTTGTTCACATCGCTCTCTCTTTCATCATTGATTTTGAACCAAGTTTGATTTATTTTTTACCGTTTAAATAAATATTATTATTATTTATGAATACCCAAAAGGCATTATTAATTAAAACTCAATCGTCAAACGTCAAAATTATCATCATCTGTGTTAAAAAACATGGAAATTTTTTTTTTTGGAATATATACCGGGTGTGAAAAAACAATCTATGATGTAAAGCGTTTGTTTTTCATTAACACCTTGTATATAACAGATATGACGTAGGACAGATTGACGTTTGACATTTGACGTTTGACGTAAGATATGTTTGACAGATGACATTTGACAGATGACGTAAGACAGGTTTGACGTTTGACATATGACATTTGACGTTTGACAGATGACAGGTTTGACATTTGACGTTTGACAGGTTTGACGTTTGACATATGACGTAAGACAGGTTTGACGTTTGACGTTTGACATATGACGTAAGACAGGTTTGACAGATGACGTAAGACAGGTTTGACATTTGACGTTTGACAGGTTTGACAGATGACGTAAGACAAGTTTGACGTTTGACATATGACGTTTGACGTTTGACAGATGACAAGTTTGACGTTTGACGTTTGACATATGACGTTTGACGTTTGACAGATGACAAGTTTGACGTTTGACGTTTGACATATGACGTTTGACATTTGACAGCTCCCCTCCTCCTCGCGCCTACGCCGTGTCCCTCCTCCTCGCGCCTGCGCTGTACCCCTACTCCTCGCGCATGCGCCGTGCGCTCTGCTCCTGCTCCTGATGCAGAATCGGCCTTCTACCTCTACTGCCGAGACTGGCAATACGGGAGTCCGTGAATATGGAATTTCCTACGAGGTATACATACTATGTTTCCAAAAATCGAAAATGATTTGAAATAAATCAATAATTAAGTCATTTTTCAGTCTTTGAATAGCCGTATTTCCGTACGGTACAATATCAACAATCAATATTATTTTCCGTACTGTTATTGTCCGTTATTACCTAGCAAGGACTAGATAACAGGAATATTGAGTTTTTCGATTAAAAATGTCATCAAAAATATCAATATTTCTGAATGATTTTCGGAAAATAATATTTTTTTATTATACCTATATTAAAAAAGGAAGTGGAAGTAACCCACAAAATACCGGATTAAACACATAGCAGAGGTTCAAATATATCGTAAACCACACTTAGTTTTGGAGAGCTTATTATTAAAAAAAAGTAATTCACCTATTTTATATTAAAATATGATTAAAAAAACACTTTTTAAACACCTATGTATAAAAAAAACATTTACTTGCCTATTTTGTTTCTGATTTATAGACCAATTTAAGCACCCACAACTCACACTTTGCAATCTAGACGGAATTGTGGTATTATATATTAGGTATACGACAATTTAGAATTAAAATAAATGACAGACACGGGTTAAGATTTGTTAGAAATGGCGGAAATGAGCGTTTTAGAATTCGATTTGGGTTATAAGATTTTGGCAATACATAGAAATGCATGTTAAATTAAGTTTGGCGCAAAAATCTCAATTTTCATTTTTTTGTGGGTTACGACCTATCAGCACTAGGCCATCGAATTGTTAATTTTGAAGTTGAACTGATATAATGTCATTTTAAGAGAACGTCAACGGTTTTTGTAGACATATCTGTTTTAAAAAACTAACGTGTTCTTGAATAGTTGAATTTAAATATTTTAAATAGTTTTTTTCTTTATTCTATGTATTTTTTTGCTTCCGACGACTGAAAGAGATAAACTTTCCGAAACGTTAAGCATTTTTTTGTTCGTTAGGCAAATTTGTGTATCTGTAAACCTAACTTCTGACAAGTAGTTTCCGTTTGGGTTAACGCAGAATTGTTTACAAAAAATAACTATTTTATTTTGTAGATTTTCTTGCAGTGGCAAAATATCCATATAGGATTTTTTGAAGAGATGAATCCGCCACATAGGTATAGACATTTTTTAATAAACAAATTTGCCTGACGGACAAAAAAATGCCAATAAAAATCCATAATAGTAAAATAAACATCTTCTGAATTCCTTTATCTATCTATCTGATAGTATCTGCATTTGTTGGTTCATGGTTTATTGGAAATTCTTTTCTACCATCTAATTCGTACAAATTTCCCTCCTTTTCTACAAAAGCTACAAAATGATCATCAGGAGTTACTTTAGTTTGTCCTTCCATGACGAGCTCCTGATGAGCTGCAATTAACTTGTAGGCCTCTGAATTATTATTAACTTTGCAAAGCATCTTCTCTTCTTCGAAATCACTTCTTTCTTCGGGATTTAAGTTAATCGAATCTTCTAATGGTGCGTCCAGATCTGAGGAGTCGAGTGCGAGACGAGAGCAAGACAAGAGCGAGACAAGAGCGAGGTAAGAGCAAGACGAGTGCGAGACGAGAGCAAGACATTTTCTATCCATTTTTTGACGCAAGCCTGCCGCGAGACAAGCGAGTTGGATCATAGTGAAAGGTGACCGGTTTGTGTAAACATGTCCGAAGAAAAACTTGCAGCAAATAATAACGCATAAGTAATAAATTTTTGTGATGACATGATATTTGGTTCATCCTATTTTATTCATCGTCAATTTTTTCCCCTTTTACCCTTCATTTGTTTCGAGACAATTAAATAGCATAGTTATAGGAAAGGTTAGGAAGCACATTTCAAAATTACTGTAGAGTATACAGGGTACTTCAAAAAGTGTTACGGATATACCGGGTGCGTCTCAAAAGTGGCTCACCCCTATAACTTTTTTATTTTTTTCAGATAAAAAAAACGAGATTTGGTATGCTAGTATATAACATAAATTAGGATTGATTGACATATTCAATTGTTTTCGGCCACTTCCGGTTTCACGAAATTGCTACAACATGTGATTTTTAAATGGGACCATCGGTATTTGCTTACTTTATTCGAGAAAAAATAACACTCTGACACGCGGTATGTTTTAATGGGAATACCCTATTTTTTATTTTATTCTACGTGCAATTCGGTAACTTTTTTTGCATATCATATTATATATATCTAAAATAATCGATTTTGTAATAATTCAATTTGTTTAAAGAAATAGATTTCGGTACGGTAAAAAGTGCCAGTGACGCAAAATTTGTAAATTCTATTAAAAATGATAATACATATACGGCGTTCCATTTAAAAGATTTGAGATTATTTAATTTTAAATAGTCGAAATTCATAAATATATGTTGAACACACTGTAGCATCTTACTCAAATATCTTTACCTATATCTTTTTCTTCGTCCCTATAAAACTATCCTAACAAATTTTAGCACTCCAACTTCAGAAACAATAGCATTAATGACAATTTTTTACGACTCTGAAATCTAACATTTTTTGTTTAAGCAAATTGAAATATTACAAAAACTATTAGTTTTAGGTATATAACATTATACCTCGCATTATACATAAATAAAAAGTTATAAAATTTTACGCAGAATGTAAAAATAATAAAAAAATTGCGCCGGGGGGCACGTATAGTCGCCCATACTAAAATATGTTAATATCTCAAAAACTGCGACTCTGACTGATTTTAATGTTATTACAAATTTTGTTGCAAATATTATTCCTAATCTTAATTTGAAAACCGCGTTTCGCTAGCTACTGTAATTTTGGAGTTACGATTTTTTGAAATGTTTAACCCCCTCCCATGCCCCCTTACCAACCCACCACCCCCACCAAAAACTAATGGCCAGATTCTCGGGTGACACAGTATTTTTGTGCGAAATTTGGTTAAAATCGGTTCAGCGGTTTTTGAGTTATCGTGTTACAGACGGACAGACAGACAGACAGACACCATGAAAATATTTTGTATTTAGGTCATTTATGACCCAAGTAACTCATTTTGAGTGAAATTAAAAAACTTTTTTTTGCCGATCCTAATACCCTACCATACCTATTGGTATGGTCGGCTAATAATGTATTACATTTAAAAAACCATGTTATATCCGTAACACTATTTTGAATCACCCTGTATACTCTATAATAATTTTAAAATGTGTATGTTAACCTTCTCTACAGTTTTTCAATTTTTTTAATAATTCTAAAACACTTTTTAATAACTCTCAAAACAAATAAAATAATGAACTTTATCGTTGGCTCACCCTGTATATTTAATTTACTAGGTAACAAGATTCAATAATAATTAAACTTCCTATAATAATCTCCTTCTTGTATGTTGCCAGTAAAGAAATACTTTTTTTACATTTTTCCCAAGTTTTATTCACATATCTACTCACGCATCGTGTTTTTTTTAATATATTCTTTATCTTTTGGATTCCATAATATTGGTTTTTCTTTATATAAATCGATTAATTTCAGCTGATCTTCCTGAAAGTCTCCATTTCAATATGCACTATAATATCAGAGCTAATAGCTTTTTTCGTTTTCCTGTTATTACCGATTCTGAACCGTCCTAGAACTCTGCAGCACATGCGCAAATGAAATAATGTCTTCATATTTCCTTCTGCGCATACGCATCACAGTTCTAGGACGGTTCAGAATCGGTAATAACAGGAAAACGAAAAAAGCTAATATCTCGCAGTCGAGCGAGCCTACCAAAAACACGTCCAGACTTGGCTGCGAGCTGTCTTTGATCTCTCTCGGCCGTTGAAAAACCGATAGGGAACGGATAGCAACGAGGCTCCGTGGGTTGTCTCGCGCTCCTCTCGCACTCGACTCCCTCAGGTCTGGACGCACCATAATATTTTCTTAAACGTTCCATTGGCTAACTGTAGCCTATCAGCATTATTAGCTATGCAATGTATTAGTGCCACGGTACCACAAGCATTAGACACATTTTGTTTCATATAGAGAAGTTTATCATAACAGTTTGACCTTTTCCTTTAATTAATTTAAAATAAGAAATTTATTAAAATACTTAATTAATCTTTAACTTCTTGTTTAGCATATTCTAATTTGGCAATGTTGTTGTCATTTTGTACCCGCTTGTTATATAATGTCGTGGTTCAATCTTATTGCAAGGA